AGCCAATAGCTAATGTTGTTTTTCTCACAGCTCTGCCTGTGACAGTGGTTGAGCTCAAGAGCATCAAATGAACAGCCAATGAGAAGAAGGGGGCGGGGTATATCAGACACTAGAGAGCATCTGATTGGTCAGAAGATTTGATGAGAAACTCTGCTGTGTCTGAAATCACAGACGTCCATAATATATAACAGGGGTCACCCCCTGTCACCCTCATCTCATTCCTGGAGGTCCGGTGGCCTGCAGGGTTTAGCTCCAACCTGCCTCAGCACACCTGCCCGGGTGTTTCAAGTCTACCTAGTAAGAGCTTGATCAGCTTGTTCAGGTGTGTTTGATGAGGGTTGGAGGTAGAATCTGCAGGACAACACTTAAAGTGGAGGCGTGGCTATCCACAGTCACTCTCTGATTGGTCTTCTGGACTACTGCATATCGTTCCCTGATTTGTCAAGCCCTGATCACATGACCATTGCACATTTAGACTACAAGTACAGTTCCCGTCCAGATGTGTGCACGCTCACGAGTGCCATGGGTCAGGGATCATGTGTTTCAGGCAGGACAGTGAGGATAATGTCCTCTGGATCATGTCCTTGTTGGTTGTAAGCGCAGGCTCTATGGTGTGAGATGTGGTGCAGGGTTTGACTCTGAGCTCTGCTTCTGGCATGAACACACAGATCCAGCTCTGCTCCTGCGTCTGTGTTTCCTGCGTGTGTTTGCTCTGCGGACTCTCCCCTGTGGGGTCTGGGGGATGAGCGGGTCCCGCACTGACAGCGCCGCCTCTAGTCTCGGAGCCAGTTTTCGTGATGCAGAAAAGGACAGCACCTTGGACAGCAGACGGGTCCAGCACCGCCTGGCTCCGTCCCCTGCAGCGCTCAGCTGGTGGATCAAACCGGGCAGATCCTTCGGGAGGCAGAACTTTGGCACACAGCGCAGCGGCTTCGGGATGCAGCTGTTGCTATCAAGAGTCTGAAAGCAAACCAATCCAAATCCCCGTCCACGTCCATCACTGTGTATCCCCGTCCACAGACAGGACAGCGCCGCTCTGAACACCGGAGCCGTAATGGAGGACGCCTCTGGAGCCGTGATGGAGGTCGCCTCTGCCGGTTTCTTTTCTTCTGCAGAGTTCCTCCTCCATCTGTGGTACTCCTGCTGGGCTTCAGGGCTCCAGACGATCAGCACCAGCCCGCCGGCTCTCTGCACGCTCTGGGTCTGGCCGTACAGCCACGGGACGGGTCCCAGCTGAGCCAAAGACGACCGCTGACAGCACTGCGCCCACTGCGCCAGCCTTACATCCATGCACAGCTCCCCCTGCAGGCCGGAGGCTAAACTGCAGACGGCGGAGACATGCTGCGCATCACTGGAGGAGCAGACCAGCAGCAGCGGCCGGCGCTCGGACCCGCGCAGCGCTGCAGAGAGACCACACACAGCACAGCAGCATTACTATACTGACTCTGGCTAACACTGATCATCCACACAGACACATCAGACACATCAGACACACACTGAACCGTGAGTTTACTGTCATCCCACCTTAAACAACAACAGACATGAAAAGCATTTCCCAGCCGGTGGTTAACAGGAGCCAAATGAGTGTAATTAAAGACTAAGCTATTGAACAGGGCCAGTCATGAACACGAGCGCTATCACCATCTGGAGACAGGAGGCCGTCTGGCTGAGGATTAATTTATTTTAAATTATGCGAGCAATAATTATCCTTCATAAGTTATTTTGCCTGCATAATTTAAAATGATTAAAGTAATAATTCATCCCCCCTTCATCTGTAACTCCTCCCTTATAAAGCAGCAACTCCACCCATTCACCATCAGCTCCAGCCTTACCATAAGAAACCACTCCTCTTTATCAGCAGCCCCTCCCCTTCATCAGTAACCCCTCCCTTATTCTTCAGTAATTCCTCCCTTCTTCAGCAGTCTCCAGCTCCTCCTCTTTATCAGCAACTCCTCCTATTCACCAGCTTCTCCTCCCTTTCCTTAGTAACTCCTCCTTTTTAATCAGTAGCTCCTCCCCTTCACCAGAGGCTCCACCCTTTCATCAGTAATTCCTCCCTTATTCGTCAGTAACCCCTCCCTTCTTCAGCAGCTCCTCCCCTTTATTAGTAACTCCTCCGGTTCACCCACAGCTCCACCCTTTCCTGAGTAACCCTTCCTCTTTATAAGCAGCTCCTCCTCTTCATCAGTAACCCCTCCCTTATTCATTAGTAACTCCTTCCTTCACTACCAGCTCCTCCTCTTTATTAGTCATTCCTCCTACTCACCAGAAGCTCCGCCCTTTTATCAGTAACTCCTCCCTTCTTTATCAGTAGCTCCTCGCATTCACCAGAAGCTCCACCCTTTCACCAGTAACTCCTCCCTTATTCATCAGTAACTCATACGTTCTTCAGCAGCCCCACCCCTTCACCACCAGCTCCTCCCCTTTATCAGCAGCTCCTCCCCTTCATCAGTGACTCCTTCATTCTTCAGTAGATCAACACCTTCACCAGCTCCTCCTC